TCTCCAGCCTCCACAACCCTTGGCTTTCCAGCCTCCACAACACCTGGTTCTCCAGCCTCCACAATCCTTGGCTTTCCAGCCTCCACTACTTTTGGCTCTCCAGCCTCCACCACCTTTGGCTCCTCAGCCTCCACAACACCTGGTTCTCCAGCCTCCACAATCCTTGGCTTTCCAGCCTCCACTACTTTTGGCTCTCCAGCCTCCACCACCTTTGGCTCCTCAGCCTCCACAACACCTGGTTCTCCACCATCCTTGGTTCTCCAGCCTCCACTTCTCCTTAAAAAGCCAAAGCAAAACCTACCAACTCCAAGCACCAAAACACTTGGCCCAGGGGATGAAGCTTTCTCTGGACCAGCATCTCACCAAGCCAGGTAGAGGGATTCACTCACCTTGGCACCCTGAGAGCAAACCTGTCTCCATGCTCATCTAGATGTTCCTCAAGGACCTACTTTGCCTCCAGGGATGGGATCAAGAAACATGGTGCCTCAACATGTGAAAGGCAAGTCCTGTTTGCTCTTGAACCATCTGCTGGTGAGCAAGGGAGGCTTGGAGAAATGGGTTTAGCTCTGAGTTTTTTTTGCTGAACCTTGCTGTCCCCAGCCCACCCTCTGCTCTGGTGAGATGGTCTGACCTGATGATGAAGGCTCCTCTGGTCTCCAGGAGTTTCCGTTCGCTGCTGAAGCGCTTGAGCAGGTTGATCATGAACTTGTAGAAGTAGGAGTTCATGGTGGGGGTGGAGGGTGAGCATTCCAAGCCTTTTGGACCTGGGGAGGGAAGGGGAGAGGAAATTAAAGAGTGGTTGGGGCCTTCCTGCCAGATCAGAGAGCAGACCCCCAAAATCTGGTGACAGCAGTGGGCGGAAAAGGGTCAGGACATGGGAAGAAGGTTTCCAAGCCTCAGACAACAACATCTGCTTGATCCAAGCAGAGCCAGCCCTGCTGCAGCTCCCTCCATCTCAGGGGAAAACATCTTGGGGTGTTCCCAACTCCTGCAGCAGCACATGGGGATGAAATGGGCTTTTTTGGGAAGTTCTCCCAGAGCTGTTCAGCTCCAGAAGCTGGTAGGAAAAGGGTGCCCGAAGCTTTGGATCAACAGGCAACCCTGTCTCCTTGGCTACAGCAAGTACACTCATCCCCAAACCTGGACTGCTGGTGAGCTGAAGAGCTTTTAACCCAGCCCCACGTGCCCCCAGCACCACCTGCATGTGGTGGCAAGACACCCACCTCCAGCCCTGAGCCACCATCAGATGTGATTCTCCCTGAGCAGGAGCCACTTGGTGCAACAGGGTCACCTAGAAGGTGTCCCGGGGCTCAAACCCCAGCAGAGCTCCAGGCTTAGAGGTTGGACCAAAAAATAGGGTTTTTCTTCCTTTGTTCTCTGCAAAACTGGGACAGGTGACCCTGCAACACAGGGAACTCCTTCCCACAAGTCCTCCTGTGGAAAGACCATGTCTAACCATGGTGAGGAGGGAAGCTGGAACACATGAGGGTTCCAAGGGTCTTCTCCCCCCATCCTGAGAACAGCCAGGATTTCCATCAGGTTTCTAAAGAGAACCTGAAGAGTTGGATCTCTGGATGTTGTTTTGCTTCTCCTGAGACTCAGCAGGGCAAGGAGCAACCAATTCAAGCTTCAATCAAGCCACCAAAGCTCAGCAAAGCTGATGGAAGAAGAATGACTGGGCTGCTCTCCATCCTGCCTGTCCTGGAGAGCCACAGAAATGCAGATGTGGGCTCAGCCAAGGCAGCTTCTCCAGGCTTGGATGTAGCAACCAAGAGAACATCCACAGCCACAAGGAAAAGGAGAATAACCCCCCAAGTCACCTGGACCAGAATGTGGTATCTCCTCCCTACTGGAGCCACGGGACACCTACATGTTCCTGATGAAGGTTCCCACCATGGGACACCTGCATGTTCCTAGGGAAGGTTTCCACCATGGGACACCTGCATGTTCCTAGAGGTTTCCACCATGGGACACCTGCATGTTCCTAGAGGTTTCCACCATGGGACACCTGCATGTTCCTAGAGGTTTCCACCATGGGACACCTGCATGTTCCTAGAGGTTTCCACCATGGGACACCTGCATGTTCCTAGAGGTTTCCACCATGGGACACCTGCATGTTCCTAGAGGTTTCCACCATGGGACACCTGCATGTTCCTAGAGGTTTCCACCATGGGACACCTGCATGTTCCTAGAGGTTTCCACCATGGGACACCTGCATGTTCCTAGAGGTTTCCACCATGGGACACCTGCATGTTCCTAGAGGTTTCCACCATGGGACACCTGCATGTTCCTAGAGGTTTCCACCATGGGACACCTGCATGTTCCTAGAGGTTTCCACCATGGGACACCTGCATGTTCCTAGAGGTTTCCACCATGGGACACCTGCATGTTCCTAGAGGTTTCCACCATGGGACACCTGCATGTTCCTAGAGGTTTCCACCATGGGACACCTGCATGTTCCTAGAGGTTTCCACCATGGGACACCTGCATGTTCCTAGAGGTTTCCACCATGGGACACCTGCATGTTCCTAGAGGTTTCCACCATGGGACACCTGCATGTTCCTAGAGGTTTCCACCATGGGACACCTGCATGTTCCTAGAGGTTTCCACCATGGGACACCTGCATGTTCCTAGAGGTTTCCACCATGGGACACCTGCATGTTCCTAGAGAAGGTTTCCACCATGGGTCAACCCTTCCTGGCATGGCCTGGAGCTCAGCTGGCCACCCCATGGGTCACAACTAGGCACAGTGGTGTCCCCAGCTCCACAGAGCTGTGGGAGCTGCTTGTCAAGTGCTTCTAGGAAGCAAGAGAGACCAGCAGGGAGGAGTGTGAAGAAAACTGTGGCTCCCTGAGTTGCACCTCTTCCCTTCCACCAGAGCCAGGCTTGGCAGATCCATCACCTGCCAGATGGGCTGTGAGCAGGGGTGGGTGGCATATCACCCCCTGCTGCCTCTGGTTCTCACCTGGCTTGGAGGAGGGAGCTGGAAGAAGGAAGATGCTGCTTGGAGGAATGATGAAACAGCTATAAAGGGAACAACTGGGAATTCTGGGCCCACGGGAACATCAGAGCAGTGGAAGAGTTGGTGGAAACAGGCTAGAGCAGCTTCCAGTGCCTGAAGGGGCTCCAGGAAAGCTGGGGAGGGGCTTGGGACAAGGGCAGGGAGGGAGAGGACAAGGGGGAAGGGATTAAAACTGGAAGAGGGAGATTGAGGTGAGACATGAGGAGGAAATTGTTTGGTGTGAGGGTGGTGAGAGCCTGGCCCAGGTTGCCCAGGGAAGCTGTGGCTGCCCCATCCCTGGCAGTGTTGAAGGGCAGGTTGGATGGGGCTTGGAGCAGCCTGGGCTGGTGGGAGGTGTCCCTGCCCATGCAGGGGGTTGGGACCAGATGATCTTCAAGGTCCCTTCCAACCCAAACCAGTCTGGGATTCTATGAATTGCAGCCCCATGGAAAAGTAAATCTGCACTCTCCAGTCAGCCTGGACCCTTCCTAGTGCCTCCTGGGCTGAGAAATCCCTTCCTGAGGGAATCTCCACAGCTTGGACACACGTGTGGACTTCTCAAATGACCTAATCCAGTACCAGCAGCACCTGAGTGCCCCTGTCCATGGGTAATGGCTCCAGCAGAGCCCAGAGAACCCCTGCCAAGCCTCCCTGCACCCCCAGGTCCTCACTGGGTCGTGCCGTTCCCAGCGCCCGCCCGGCCACACCATCCATCAACCCCCAGAGGCCACCAGGAATCTATATTAAGGTCCTTATAAATATATATTGTAGAGCAGCCAGGAACATTGGGGCTGTCTGGCTGCTTGATGGGCTGAGCTACCTCCAGGAAAGTCAAGAGAGGTGATTCTCCTCCTCTGCTCTGCTGAGACCCCACCTGGGTCCAGTTCTGGAGCCCCCAGCATAAGGAATATGGAGCTGTTTAGTCCAGAGGAGGTCATGGAGATGATCCAAGGGCTGGAACAGCTCTGCTGTGTGGACAGGCTGGGGGAGTTGGGTTGTTCAGCCTGGAGAAGAGGAGCTTTCAGGGAGACCTTACAAGGAACACTGGAAAATGTGCAGATCTCCAGGGTCTGGGCCCAACTGGAGATGTTCTGTCACTGGGGCTTCCCTGTGGGGACCTCTTTGGGGTGACATCATGGAATCCCAGACTGGTTTGGGTTGGAAGGGACCTTCAAGATCATCCAGTCCCACCCCTGCATGGGCAGGGACACCTCCCACCAGCCCAGGTTGCTCCAAGCCCCATCCAACCTGCCCTTGGAACATGCTGATGTCTTGGGAATTGCAAACCCAGGTGGGAAGGGGAGAAGTGTCCATGTGTCCGGGCAGCCCCGCAGGGCCAGCCTGAGTTTGGGGGATGTTGTTTCCTCAGCAACATCCTCTGGTCCAGAGAAGGAAGAGTGGAGGTTCTGCAGAGCCCAGCTGAGCTGCCACCACCTTCCCATCTGTTCCCACCTCCATCCTGCACCAGCTTTTTTTTGCAGGAGGAAAGGGAGGATTTGCCTTTCTTTTTTTTTTTCTGATCCCCCAGCTCTATTTTTATCCTGCTCCTCCCTCCCTGGGTTTGCAGAAGCTGAAATTCAAAACATCCTGGGGAAGGCAGCAGGGGAGAGGGGAGGGGATGTCTAGCCCTCAGATCATCTCCGTGGCCTCCTCTGGACCTGCTCCAACACCTCCATGTCCTTCATGTGCTGAAGGCTCCAGAGCTGGACCCAGCCCTGCAGGAAGGGCCTCACCAGAGTGGAGCAGAGGGGAAGAATCCCTTCCCTCCACCTGTTGGTCTTGGTGGCAACCACTCTCGGGTCACTTTACTCCTTGTCCTGACCTCCTCACAGTTGGCAAAACCCTCCCAAAGCAAAGCAGGCAGCTGGAATCCCACCACACAACCCTGTTGGGTGCCTGCACCACCACCCCAAGGAGCCCTGCTGGCTGGTCAGAAGCGAACCAAGGACAACCTCACGGAGGTCACCACCCAACCAGCCTCTCCCAGCCCAGCCAGAGAAGCTTGGGAAGAGAGACGTAGGGTCTCCCAGGAGGTGCTGATCTGGGTTGGCCCCAGCTCATTGTGTTTGGAGGAGGCACCAGGAGGAGCTGAGCTGACGTAACCGGAGAACAAAGCTGCTCCTTCCAGCCCAGAGCTGGGAACGGGCTGCGGAAGCAGGACACGGCCTTCCTGCCTCAGCCACCAGCAGCTGAAGGAAACCGACCTGAATGGCAGGGAAACAACTGCACAAACACCTCCCCAGGGAAGAAAAGGAGCCAGAGGAAGTGGGAGAGGAAGAGCACGGGGCCACCAGCCCCTTCTGCCTCCATCCTGCCCTCGCTGCTCGGGTGGCAAAGCCCGGAGAGCCTGGATGGAGGACGTGGCGTGACCTGCTGCCAGCTCCATGGTTTGAAGGGGTTTCCAAGCTGGTTCACCTGCAAGGCACCAACTGGGGCAGGTAGGAGAGGAGCAGACTGGTCCTGGCTCTGCAGCTCTTCTCCCACCACCAGCATCTCCATCAACACAGGCTGGAGGAACGGGGTGATTGAAGCGCGGGGAGAAGAGCTGGCATCTGGACAGATGTGCTCAGGGAGTGCTCCCCTGCATCCCAGCCCAAAACCAGTGACCCCAGAAGGTCCCTTTGGTTCCAGCACCTGGTGTTTTTTTTTGCCTGGGAAGGGCTGCACTCCCAGAGGCAGCTGGGCAGAGGTTGGGTTCACCTGCTCTCACCATACATCCCAGCCCTGGGAGCACACAGATGAAGGGACTTCTACCAACCACTCAGCAACATCCTCTGGTCCAGAGAAGGAAGAGTGGAGGTTCTGCAGAGCCCAGCTGAGCTGCCACCACCTTCCCATCTGTTCCCACCTCCATCCTGCACCAGCTTTTTTTTGCAGGAGGAAAGGGAGGATTTGCCTTTCTTTTTTTTTTTCTGATCCCCCAGCTCTATTTTTATCCTGCTCCTCCCTCCCTGGGTTTGCAGAAGCTGAAATTCAAAACATCCTGGGGAAGGCAGCAGGGGAGAGGGGAGGGGATGTCTAGCCCTCAGATCATCTCCGTGGCCTCCTCTGGACCTGCTCCAACACCTCCATGTCCTTCATGTGCTGAAGGCTCCAGAGCTGGACCCAGCCCTGCAGGAAGGGCCTCACCAGAGTGGAGCAGAGGGGAAGAATCCCTTCCCTCCACCTGTTGGTCTTGGTGGCAACCACTCTCGGGTCACTTTACTCCTTGTCCTGACCTCCTCACAGTTGGCAAAACCCTCCCAAAGCAAAGCAGGCAGCTGGAATCCCACCACACAACCCTGTTGGGTGCCTGCACCACCACCCCAAGGAGCCCTGCTGGCTGGTCAGAAGCGAACCAAGGACAACCTCATGGAGGTCACCACCCAACCAGCCTCTCCCAGCCCAGCCAGAGAAGCTTGGGAAGAGAGACGTGGGGTCTCCCAGGAGGTGCTGATCTGGGTTGGCCCCAGCTCATTGTGTTTGGAGGAGGCACCAGGAGGAGCTGAGCTGACGTAACCGGAGAACAAAGCGGCTCCATACAGCCCAGAGCTGGGAACGGGCTGCGGAAGCAGGACACGGCCTTCCTGCCTCAGCCACCAGCAGCTGAAGGAAACCGACCTGAATGGCAGGGAAACAACTGCACAAACACCTCCCCAGGGAAGAAAAGGAGCCAGAGGAAGTGGGAGAGGAAGAGCACGGGGCCACCAGCCCCTTCTGCCTCCATCCTGCCCTCGCTGCTCGGGTGGCAAAGCCCGGAGAGCCTGGATGGAGGACGTGGCGTGACCTGCTGCCAGCTCCATGGTTTGAAGGGGTTTCCAAGCTGGTTCACCTGCAAGGCACCAACTGGGGCAGGTAGGAGAGGAGCAGACTGGTCCTGGCTCTGCAGCTCTTCTCCCACCACCAGCATCTCCATCAACACAGGCTGGAGGAACGGGGTGATTGAAGCGCGGGGAGAAGAACTGGCATCTGGACAGATGTGCTCAGGGAGTGCTCCCCTGCATCCCAGCCCAAAACCAGTGACCCCAGAAGGTCCCTTTGGTTCCAGCACCTGGTGTTTTTTTTTGCCTGGGAAGGGCTGCACTCCCAGAGGCAGCTGGGCAGAGGTTGGGTTCACCTGCTCTCACCATACATCCCAGCCCTGGGAGCACACAGATGAAGGGACTTCTCCCAACCACTCCAAAAAAAAAAAAGCTCCCCCCCTCTTTTCCAAGAGTCTCTGCTTCTCCAGGGGTGATCCAGGAGGGTCCTGGCCCAGCTGTGACCCCTGATTCTTCCAGAAGCTGGAACCCAACAGCTGATCTGCTTAGAGCCAGACAGGACCAGGGCCACGTGAAAGGCCTGAGGCCAAGGAGCTGGTTCCTTGTCCCCTCCCCAAACCCATCAGCCTTTGGGTGAAAGCCAACCACCCTGCCAAGCTCAGCCCCACACACATTCCCATAGCAACCATTTTTCCAGTGCATTCCAAGGCAAGGGGAAGCAGGTGAGGAACCCAGCACCCGTGGGGGAATCTGCATGGGAGGGGGGGGGAAGGGAGAAGTTGCCCCACGCTGGGGCAACGGGAGCTCCAGCAGATCCGCCTGGAGGTGGAGAGAAAACCAGACTCTTTTGGAATGTTACACTGGAAAAGTGAAGCCAAGTTGCTCCTCCAGGGAGCTCCAGGGGCCACGGCAGCTGCTAGGATCCCAGCCATCCAGCCTGCTATTTTTAGCTCATCCAGCAGGAAGGAAACCTCAGACAACCACCAGTGTGAGCTGAGCTGCAGCTTGGCCAGCACTGCAGGAGCTGCTCCACCCAGCTGAGGATGGATGAGGCTCAGGGAGGTCACCAGGGCCAGACCTGCAACTGAATCCATCCAAACCACCCAAAAAGCTGAGCTGGTGGGTGGGGAGGAGCTTTGTGAGCCCAGGGAGGGATGAGGGAGCTGAGAGGTTCAGAGAGAACAAAGCCTGGGAGGGGCAGGGTCAGGATCTCTCACCAGGGGGGACGTGCAGGGCCCCGTGGCCACGTCCTGTGTGGGGAGTGGTGGCCTTGGCTGAGCCCCTGGGTTGGGAGCCAAAGCTGCTGAGAAACGTGCTCCTGGCCAGGACAACCTGGCCTGGAGGAGGCTGATGGGGAGGCCCTTAAATAGCAGCAGTGGAAGAGAAGGAGCAGCCAGGCCACAGCAAAGGATGAGCCACAGACAAGGGGAGGTGGGAAGAACTTCCTGATGTGGGAACTTCCTGATTGCATTCAGGGTGATGGATGGAAAGGGTTTTCCTTTTTGATCCCCTCAGAAAACAGGAGAGTCCCTCTTCATCTCTCTTCTAGGGCTGAGCCTGAGAGAGTTGGGGTACTCAGCCTGGAGAAGAGAAGGCCCCAGGGAGACCTTAAGAGCACCTTCCAGTGCCTGAAGGGGCTCCAGGAAAGCTGGGGAGGGACTTGGGACAAGGGCAGGGAGGGAGAGGACAAGAGGGAAGGGATTAAAACTGGGCGAGGGAGATTGAGGTGAGACATGAGGAGGGAATTGTTTGGTGTGAGGGTGGTGAGAGCCTGGCCCAGGTTGCCCAGGGAAGCTGTGGCTGCCCCATCCCTGGCAGTGTTGAAGGGCAGGTTGGATGGGGCTTGGGGCAACATGCACTGGTGGGGGGTGTCCCTGCAGGGGGGTGGGATCTAGATGGTCTTGAAGGTCCCTCTCAACACTCAAGAGCACTGTAGCAGCTCATAGACAACATAGGCAGCCTTGAATGGGCAACACAGGCACAGACCCATCTCTGCTTTAGACACCCCCCAGTGCTGGTGGGCACAGAGTGAGCAGCCATGGAGGGCACTCACCAGAGGAGCTCAGCTGGCCAGTCCTGGATGGGACATGAAGCTCCACGGGGCCAGGTCGCACCTCAGAGCCATCAGAGGGACCATGACCTTCTGTCTGTCCTGCTGGGGAAGAAGCAATCTCAGCCAGCACCTCCAAGTCCTTCAGGATAACCTGCAGAGACACGGATGGCAGGGGGTGAGCCAGGGGGACAAGGCCTCTCTTCCAAACCTACCACCTGAGAGGGACAGATGGGAAGGAAACACCAAATCCAGGGGCATCAAGAAAGGTGTGGAGAAGAGAGGGCTCCCTGTGGAGTGGAGGGGCTACCCACCAAGCTCAAGGGCTACCTGCAAAGTAGAAGGGCAACCTATCAAGTTGAAGGGCAACCTACCAAGTTTCAAGTGGAAATCTCAACTGATTGCAGAGGGGATGGGGCAGGAAAGAGAAAAGGGGAGACCCCCCCCCTCCAGTTTCTGTCCTGCAAGTCCCCAGGGAGCATGTGAAGTGGAATCTCATTTACACAAGCAGGAGCAGGGCTTCATTCTCCCTCCTGGGGAGGTCTGGGCTCTGCTTCCCTGCTCCCCTTCATGATGGCAGATTTGGGAGCAGCTCAGGGATGGTCTTTGGGGCAAACATCAGACATCCAGCCCCTTCCCAGGTCAGCATCCCAGGCAGAACCAGGCCAGTATCCCAGGCAGGACCTGCCCAGCCTCCCAGCCAGGATCAGCCCAGCATCCCAGCCAGGACCAGGAGAGCATCCCAGGCAGGCTCAGGCCAACCAGGCAGAGCTCCCAGTCAGCTTTCATCTCTCTCTCCTCCCAGAAGTTGCCAATCAGTCTATATTTAGCATTTCTGGAGAAGTTATTACAGGGTGGGTTGGTTTTTTTTCTTCCTCCCCTCTTCTTGTCCTCAGCCCTTGTCATGTCTCAGGCTATTTTGGGTCCCCCTTCATTCAGATGTCCTTGGGGGGAGATGTTTCATCAGCCCTGCCTGGTGCAGCAGGGCTGTGTGGAGCACAGAGGCTGCCAAAAATGGTTGGTGGCCACGTCTGACCCACCAGCAGCACATCCCTGACCACCTTTTGCCCACCAGCACAGCAGCTCAGACTTCCCAGCTGTTGCCAGGAGGCATCTTCTGAAGGAGCTGCAGCACTTTTAGCTCCTGAGCTACCAAAAAAAAGCCCCTTACCCTCAGTAAAAAAAGCCAATTCTGTTTTTTTTTTAAGGTGCAGAACTTGAAAATATGAGCCTAAAATCAGAAGGAGGAGCCTTTGGGTTTCTTTGCTGCAGGGATCTTAAGATGTTGGGGCTTTATTTTTTGTAATTAGGGCTGATTTTTAAGCCCCAGCAGCCTTTGGGCAGGCAGCAAGGAGTCCAGGCAGATCTAGTGGTGGGGAAGAGGATCTTCAGAGGTCCCTTCCAGCCCCCAACATTCAGTGAAGCAGCCTGGCCTGGGCACCAGGAGGTTTCATCCTGCTTGGGCAGCCTTTGTGCCCAGAAACATGATTCAACCCCAGCCCCTGGCTCCCCTGGGGATGAAAAAAACAAAGGATAATAACAACTTGTGCCACAAGGAGCTAAGATGCTGCTGTCCCCAAAGAATATGGGACCTCACCACCATCTCCAGCTTTCATCTCCTGCCAGGGGAGGGACACTATGATCCTTGGAGGAGGAAGGACCTTGGTCCTCCCTCTCCACCCAACTTTGCAGGGTGAATGCAATGCTGCTGGTGCTCCCTTTCCAGAAGAGGATGTCCCTGAGCAGAACTCATCACACCTGGGTTCCTGACGCCCTTTGTAGATTCTCCAGGGGCTAATCATGAGGCTCAGCTGAACCTGCAGCCTTGCAGTGGGGGAAGGCACTGATTTAGGTCTCAGGGTCTCTCAGAATGATTCCAGGAACCAGCACCTGGGACTGCCACAAGCCCCCAACAGCCCACCAATCTAACCCAACACTTGGGGCCACCATCCAGCATAGACTTCCCCAGCAGTTCCTACAGGATCAGAAAACAGGACCAAGAGCCTGGGCTGGATAAAAATCTCCCCTGGTGCCTCCCAGAGGATTTAGAGCCGTCCCAGAGCTGTGTGCTGAGCTCCATCTCCAAGGTGCTGCTGGGATGTTCCAGTCAAGCTGCCTGTGACCAGCATCACTGAGGGCATAGCTGGATATCTCTCCAGCTTTGGAGAAGTTAAGGGGTGTCCCCCCAAGGCAGCCCTGGAGCTCACAAGCAGGAGGTGGATAAAGCAGCACGGGCTGGATTTTCCAATTGCAAAAACTCGGAGGGAAGAAGCAGCAGGAGGGATGGATGCACCTGGAGGAAGAGGAGGAGCAGGTGGCTTTGAAGACCCAAAGTCTTCCAGCCGTGGGAAAGAGAGGCAGGGAGCTCCAGTTCCTGCTGCTTCCCTGCAGGATCTGGAGCAGGTTCCCAGACGGGGCTGGAGGAGAAGCAGGAGCACTTTGGTATGCGCAGCACATCCCTGCGCTGGAGCCAGCGGCTGCCTTTGTGCAACCAGGAGGCTGTAAGAAAGGAATATCCTCCTGTTGCCATGGCAACGGGCTGGCTGAGCCAAGAGCCAACCAGTCCCATCCCTCAGGAGCTGGTCCCATCCCTCAGGAGCTGGTCTCATCCCTCAGGAACCCCCAGGAGCACACGGGATGCATTGCTCCCCAGCGAGGTTGGGATCCCGACAGCCAGGCTGGAGGAGCAGCCACTTGAGGACGTTTTCCCAGCCTAGGTGGGGTTTCCAGGCAGGTTTCCCAGTGGTGATGGGATGTGGGGTGGTGTGTCCAGTTAGTGTGGACTGGAAGGAGCAGTGAAAGCAGCACCGTGATGGATGGGGGAAACCAGCCAAGGTCACAAGTCACTCCCAGCCCAGGGACAAAACACATGGATCAGGACGGTTGGGGGATGAAGGGGCAGGTCAGAGACACAAGCTGTAATAAACAAACAGCAATTTCTCCTCCCTGGGAAGAGAGAAGATTCCCCTCCTGCTTTGCTTCCAGAGCCTGGATTTTGAGGACACACGAAGCTGTTGGGCTCTCCCAGATCTAGGTCAGGTTAATTTGCTGCTTGTTCTGGTTGAACGGAGCCAGCTCTGCTGGGGGAGAAGCAGCTCCCGGCTGGGATCCACCTCTGGCCTGCAAAGCTCTGCCTGGATCTGCTCCTTGGGGAGGGCTTGGCCTCTTGGTGAAGAAGGGGAGGTGACCCCCAAACCTGCTGCAGGTCCCAGGGGAGCAGGATCTGGAGGACAGGGGAGCAGGAGGACAGGGGAACGGGACAGGCTGCGGCAGCAGCTCCTGGGGATGCAGGCAATGAGGTCCTGGGGATGCAGGGAATGAGGTCCTGGGGATGCAGGGAATGAGGTCCTGGAGATACAGGGAATGAGGTCCTGGAGATGTTTGCCTTGCTGGGAATTTATGGAGAAGGTTCAAAAAAACCCCACAACTACATAAAAAGTGACAAGATGAACACGTCTGATCAGGTTAATTTGCTGCTCGTTCTGGTTGAACGGAGCCAGCTCTGCTGGGGGAGAAGCAGCTCCCGGCTGGGATCCACCTCTGGCCTGCAAAGCTCTGCCTGGATCTGCTCCTGGGGGGGGGCTTGGCCTCTTGGTGAAGAAGGGGAGGTGACCCCCAAACCTGCTGCAGGTCCCAGGGGAGCAGGATCTGGAGGACAGGGGAGCAGGAGGACAGGGGAACGGGACAGGCTGCGGCAGCAGCTCCTGGGGATGCAGGCAATGAGGTCCTGGGGATGCAGGGAATGAGGTCCTGGGGATGCAGGGAATGAGGTCCTGGGGATGCAGGGAATGAGGTCCTGGAGATACAGGGAATGAGGTCCTGGAGATGTTTGCCTTGCTGGGAATTTATGGAGAAGGTTCAAAAAAACCCCACAACTACATAAAAAGTGACAAGATGAACACGTCTGAGCTCAGCAAAGGGGCAGCAAAACTGGAGATGTGACACCAGGGACAAGGTTATTCCCACCAAGGAGAAGATGGGAGAAGTGAGATGCCACCAAGATGGAGAACAGGAAGGTTAAGGGCTGCAAAGGCCCTCAAAGGGGGCTAGGGCTGTGGGAAACCCTATAGCATTCCCAGGGGGTGTCCCAGGGCAGTGACACTGTGACAAGGTTATTCCCATCAAGGAGAAGATGGGAATCCAGCTGAAGCAGGTGCCACCATGAGAGAACAGGAAGGTTATGGGCTGCAAAGCCCTTCACTTCCCTGATGAAGTCCAAGGGGACCAAGAGCAAGAAGGCAAAACCCCACGGCATTCCCAGGATCAGCAAGGGTGGAAGAGCAACCTGCTGGGCACCAGGAAAGCCAAGGGTGCTTCTGGGTGCTTCCTCCTCTTCCCCATCTCCACTGCAGCTCCTCACGTGCCCTGGGCTTTCCCCAGAGGACTTCACTGACCCCACTGGCTTCTCTTCCCCTCCCTCCAAACCTTCCAGCCACGGGCAGGAGAGGCAAGGATGGACAAGCAGAGACACACATGGTGTGAAAGCAAACTTGGGTGTCCCTCCAACCAACCCCCTTCCCACCTCCACTGGTTTGAAAGACAAAAAGAATGAAAATCTACCAGGAACCTCCCCAGGAACCAGACCCCTTTGCACAGCAAAGCCCCATGGGTCAGACTCAGCTCTGGGAGCTGAAGTTCCCAGGCAAGGCAGAAAGGATTTTCAGGAGTTGGCTTTGAAGGATCAACTCTCTGAGGTGGAGAGAAGGTTTCTACACCCCAGCCTAACCAAGGCAGCAAGGCTTTCAGCCTGCAGGCTCTGCAAGGTCTTCTTCAGTTCAGCCAACAGGGGTCAACCTCCCCAGCAGCAACACAAAATCCCCTGGGTCAACCTCCAAAAAATCCCAAGCCCAGCTAGAGGCAGAGACAGGCAGGTCTCAGGAGAACTTCTGCAGCAGCTGCAGGACCCACCTCATCCGACTCATCCGAGAGGGTCCTCAGCAGGATGGGGAAGAGGCTGTCGGTGTGTCGGAACATCTGGAACCAGAAGGACAGATGTAGGCATCATCAGTCCTACAGGCCTGGTCACCTCCTGCCACACCACCCATCAACCCAGGAGGAGCTGCTGGAAACTCCACCACCACCCTCCATCCAGCTCTCCCTTAAGCTACTGGGTATCCAGCAGCCAAAGCCTTCTCAGACGAGGCAGGTGGACACTTGGTTGTGATGCCACCAAGGTTATGACAGGTTTTGAAAGACAAGGAGAAGGTTGGGGTGGAGAAGCTCAGTCCCATGGAGGAAGCAGGAGGCTCCCTGACCTACCTTACGAGGAGTCTTGATGTAGAGGTGGTAGAGCCACTTCAGGACTGCAATTCTGGTCATCATCCCAATGGACGTGTCGTGAAGGTGACAATCCAGCACCTGAACTATCCCATCCAGGTTCAGGGTCACCTGGATCCTCTCAGAGCTGCATGGAAAGGAGAGAGGCTGGTTCATCTCCATGTCCAACTCACTCCTCCCACAGTGGGGAGGTCTACACCACACCAGAGGTTACATCAAACATCTCAGCTCAAACCCTGAGAAACCTCAACCATCCCCTTGGCCTTCTCCTGCCCCTCTCAGCCTGGCCACCCACTTCTCTTACTCTGTGCATCCAGATCTGCTGATGGCAAACCCAACAAGTGTGCTCATGACTTCAAGAGTTCTGAAAGTCAGAAAATGAGCTCCAGGCTTCCAAGTGTCAGGGGTCATGGCCAGGTGCGCCCATGTGGCACCATCATGAGGTGGGAAGGCATGAGGAGACACAGCCACACACCCACAGCTTGCTTTGGAAACAAGAGGGATCTCCCAGGCTTCAAGATTTACCACTTTTCCAAGCAGTTGGTGCTTAAACATGCCAAGACACCTCACTAGGTGAATCCAGGACTCTGCTGAGGAACTGGCCTGTGCTGCAGGCACCAGGTTTGGGCTTCAAAGACTAGAGATCCATAAAGTGCATTTAGAAACCAACTCCAGTTTGACCAGCTCTAACACCTCCAGAGAACATCAACCCACGTGGCTTCAGACTCCACTGGTTGGGGCCAGGTGAGGACGTCCAGCCTCTGGAATCCCAGCAGAGTGGTGCTGAGGACTTTGGGTGGTGCCCTGGCTGGGAGTCTCCCTGGGATGTAGCTCCCTGCCTTAAGAACATCATCTTGTTCCCCAAAAGCCATCTCAAAAGATGAGGATAACCCTTGGCCATCAACCAGGAATGAAAGCAAACACCTCCTGGAGGCTACCAGGACACTGGATAACACCAAGCAAGGGCTGGGGCAGCTCTGCTCTGGAGCCAGGCTGGGAGAGTTGGGGTGTTCAGCCTGGAGAAGAGAAGGCTTCAGGGAGACCTTAGAGCACCTTCCAGTGCCTGAAAGGGCTCCAGGAAAGCTGGGGAGGGACTTGGGACAAGGGCAGGGAGGGAGAGGACAAGGGGGAAGGGATTAAAACTGGAAGAGGGAGATTGAGGTTGGACATGAGGAGGGAATTGTTTGGTGTGAGGGTGGTGAGAGCCTGGCCCAGGTTGCCCAGGGAAGCTGTGGTTGCCCCATCCCTGGCAGTGTTGAAGGGCAGGTTGGATGGGGCTTGGAGCAACCTGGGCTGGTGGGAGGTGTCCCTGCCCATGCAGGGGGTTGGATCTAGATGATCGTGAAGGTCCCTTCCAACCCAAACCAGTCTGGCATTCCATGAAATGGCTCGTTGCTGTGCTGGCAGCAGGTCAGTATCCTCCTCTGACTGTGCCACCCCATGTCCTGCCTCAGAGCAGCATGGACCTGGTGGGTGTGACAGCCACTTCCATACCAGCCACCTTTAGGTGCCACTTCTTTGCCCTACCCTTTCAGCTGCTTCCTTCTGAAAACACCCCAAAAATGGAGGGGTTAGACCCATCCTGTAGGAGCAACATGTGGTTTGTGGTGTGGAGGTGTCATGGGTTGAGGTTTGGTGCTCCTCATCCATCAGGAGCCCTCTGCTGGGTGGGTGACAGGCTGCTTGGCAGGAAAACCAGTTGGGATCTCCTGGGGTGCTTCTCCTTCTCCCAGCCTCCCTGTCCTCTGGGTCCCTCATTCCTCTCCATTTAGAAAGTTTGACCCCGGGTGATTGTTTTGTGACATCAAAGAGCAACTTATTCCAGCTGGAAAAGCAACTCCAGCCCCCAGGATCTGCTCCATGAGGCACCTCAAGCTGGTGGGTCCCTGCAGGGCTGGGAAGAGCTGCAGCCTCTTCCCCCCAGCTCCACCACATGTAACCTGAGCAAGATCACATCCCAGGAAGCTGCAGCTCCTCCTGCAAACCTGCCCCCTTAGGTTGGAGCCCAAACCCTCCTTGATCCCCACCTGAGGATCCTTTCAGGGGGGGTTGATGGTGGAGAAGCACCTGCTTTACTCAGCACAAAACCAGGGCAACCAGCCTGAAAGGTCTGTTGGGACAGTGGGAAAACTCAGGATCTGAGGTGTCCCCCACTCACCCCTGTTTTCCCAGGCCTCTAAGCACCAGATTCCCAGGGGAATTCCCAGGGCAGGAGGCAGCAGGAGTGCCCAGGGAGGGGGGGAGGAGCAGCAACCATGGTATGACCTTCATGCCATCCCCAGTGCCCGCCCAGCGCCGGCAGCTGCGCCAGGGCAGATGTCAGATGGAATCACTTCCATCTAACCCACTAGCCCAGATTCTTCTCTGGAGGACAAGCCAGGTCCTGGCACCACCTCCCTGGTTCTCCTGGGACAGCAAGGACATGTTTCTAGGGCAAGCTGAGCCACCGTGGGGGGCTGTTCCCAGCTCTTCACCCCCCAAGTTCCTGCACCCTTTGCTCCAGCTGAGTGGTGGGGCAGCAGAGCCACCCCCCAGCATGTCCCCCCATCTCAGAAACATCCTCCAAGCAGAGGAACCAAGCTCATCTTCCCACTGTGTTCAACCCACACTGATGTTCTTCACCCTTCAGCAGCTCTTCTTCTCATTCCTCCCCCTTCTCCAAGACCTTCTGCCACCTCCCTCCTCAGCAGTCACCTCTTCTCTGCCAACTCCTGAGCTGCCATCTCTCTCCTGGCCTCCTGCCCAGCCCAGCTGCTTCCCTGACCCCATTTTCAGCCAAGGTTAAGGTCCAAGCCAAGCTCTAGCCTTGAGGTGACCTTGCCAAGGCTGGAAACATCTCCAGGTCCTTTCATTGTGGTCCAAGTCGCCAGGGCAGCTCCCACAGGGGCTGGCAGCTGTGCTGCTCAACGGCCTCCAGCTGGTGGCCAGGAGGTCAACAGCTCCTCTCTGCTCCTGGTCCCACAAGATGTCACTTTTCTTGTCCTCCACCACTCTTGGCTTCCTTCTGTGGTTTTCCAAGCCCTGGAAGTGGCTGCAGCACCGGTGGGAGATGTTCTCCTCATGATGTCTTGAGGTTATAGGGAGGCAGAGGAGCCCAGCCTGAGCTTGTCTCCAGCTCACCCACCCAACAGCACCGTGGGAGGAAGGAACAGATCCCATCTCCTCACTCCAGGCTGGAGAGGAGGTTCCAGGAGGAGCCTCCCCCAGGAGGACACCTTGGACATGAAAGGTGTGGCAAGGCAGACCCCACCTGCTGGAGAACAGGACTCCAAGGCAGGCTCAGTGTCTGAGCTCCAAACAAGCCTCCCTGCTGCCTTCAGCCAACCAGCCCCTGGGTGCTGGGGCACCCAACACCATCCCTGCCCTCCACCCAGGTGCTTATCACCTCCATGAGCTCCTCAGCTCTGGACATAGAGCTACAGGAACTTCCAGCATGAGACAAGCAGCAATTTTAGCTCCACTAACCTTAACTACCACCTTCTGGAACCCAGTGGAGATGCAGCCTCAAGGCAGTTCAGCCACGTGGCAGATGTTTGCCCCTCCACAGCAGAGCAGCTTTAGGTGTCCACACATTGCTGAACACCACCCAAAGAACACTTCTTTGCATCAGGAAGGGCCACAAAGGCTCTTCTGCAGCTCTCACACCCCTGGTCTAGCTCAGTGATGGATGATGGTCCCATCAGCCTTGTCCAACTGCCCCTGGCCCAGGCAGCCCTGCTGCCCACTGTGCCACCTGGCAGGGTGGTTGGGGAGTTGCCTCAGCCCATCCAGGTCTTGCACTGAGACACTGATGGAGCTACAGGAGCCCAAAAGTCACTTCCCAGCTGGTTGGGTCCAGCAAGGCAGGACAAACATCTGCACCTTCTCCTGGGCAGCTCAGGAGGCCTGGGTGCTGCTCCAGTTTCCACCTCCCCTTCCTGATCAGGGCTCACCCAGGGATGGCAGCAGCAGCAGGGTCAGAAGGCCCCAGGAAGCCTCCAGTGCCTCTCAAACATGGTCCTGGATCCACTTCCACTGATGGTTTCTGGAGAAGCTGGAAGCAGGGACCTCCACCTGCATGGGGAGCCCCCCAGCCCAGCACTGCTGGGCTCTCTTGGGAACCAGCTCCTGTCTTGGCACAGACACGGTCCCCTTCTCCTTGGGAATGCCACCAGGAAGCTGGCCATCCCCCTGGCAGCACTTTGGAAGGCCAGCAGCACATTCCAGGAGCAGGATGGGCAGGTGTGTCAGTTCATGGCCATAAGAACAAGCCCAGAGTCCATCTAGAGAGAGTTCAGCCCTCGTCACCTTCTTGGCTGGCATCTTCATGGGAAACATCCTTCTGCAGCCACAGGGCCAGGAGCTCCTCCAGACCTGCAGGGTGAGGTTCTTCTCCTCCTCCTCTGGTGCTGCAGAGCTCTCCCTCTGCAGACATCTGAGTGTGGAGGGCAGGAGAAGCAGCCATGAGAGCTGGACACCAGGTCCTGCTCCAGGCCCTCCTCACCAGGGGAGGAAGGAACACAAACACCAGCAAAGAGTGACTTCATCTCCCAAGGCAGCTGGAGCTTCCTCCAGTCCTGGCTTTCCAGCTTCTCCAAGCCACTCCAGGCTTTCCTGTGGTCTTGGCTTGACACCCAGTGGGCACTGGGAGTACAGGCAGCTCCCTGACCCAGCTCCAGGTGCCACCTATCACCCTCTTCTAGCCCCAAGGCCAGGCCAGGCAGCCTGAGCCACCCCAGGAGCTCCAGGCAGGTGTCCAAGGCTCCTGTTGGCCACCTACAGCCCCCCAGCCTGGTGCCATGAACCCCACACCAGGTGCCCCCTTGAAATCTGCCAGGTCCTGACACTGGGGCAGCAAAGAGGGCATGGAAACATGGAATCCCAGACTGCTCTGGGTTGGAAGGGACCTTCAGGATCATCAGGATCCAACCCCCTGCATGGGCAGGGACACCTCCCACCAGCCCAGGCTGCTCCAAGCCCCATCCAACCTGCCCTTCAACACTGCCAGGGATTGGGCAGCCACAGCTTTCCTGGGCAACCTGGGCCAGGCTCTCACCACCCTCACACCAAACAATTCCCTCCTCATGTCTCACCTCAATCTCCCTTCCCCCTTGTCCTCTCCCTCCCTTCCCTTGTCCCAAGTTCCCTCCCCAGCTTTCCTGTAGGTCACATGGGATGGGAAAACAGGCTTTGGGGCAGGTAAAGCCCAGGATAAAACCTGGTGTCTCCTGTTTCAAAAGGCTTAGGAGGGCTCAAGAAACAAGGCAGGTCCCACAGAGAAGGTGGGATGCAGCTGGAGCAACAAATCCTATTTTGGGAACCACCACAACCCATAAGTAGATGCACTGCCCCACTCGACCTCCCTGGGAGAATCTGCAAATTCTCCTGGGGGTGTCAAACACCTCAGCTCACCATAAAATGAAGACATTTTGGTGCAAACACATTAGAGAGATGAAGTTACCTCCTAGGGCATCCCCAGTCACCCACCCCACTGGGACCCAGGAGACCCTACCTGGTCTCCAGCCCAGCCTGTCCTTCCCCACAGCTTTGTCAGCATCTGCCAGTGGTGTGTGAACCCTGAGAAGTCCTCCCTTCTCCTCAAGCCCCTCTCTGAAGCAACAAACAGGCCCTACCTGGTCATGGTGAGGATGCTATTGTTGCTCAGGTTGGAGTCACCAGATGCATCCAGGGAACCTGGGAGAGACAGAAGAGGACATGGTGAGTGGGATGGCAGGGAAGGTGGAGAGCAGGACTGGGAGAGGCTGAAGAGCTGCAGGACCTTCTGCAAAGATATCACCAGGGGTCTGGAGACACTGAGGATCCCTTCTGCCTGCACTGAGCTTGTTTGGCTCCTTGTGGAGCTCTTCTCCACTGCCAGAGGTACAGGGTGGAGCTGGACACAGGCTGCTCCAGACCTCAGTCCCAAACTGGGTCTCCTCCTCTGTGATGGAGACCCCAGACACATCCTTCTGGTGGGTCCTTCAAGAAGGAGCTCAGAACTTCAGAGCTGCCTCCCACTACCTGCATTTCAACTCCTGGAGATCCCCCCCCAAGGATGGGAAAGGCTGAATCCCACCTAGGACACCTCCAGCTGGTCAGCAGGACTAGGGCTGGAAGCCAAGCAACCCAAGCATCTTCCCAACCTCTGCTCTCTGCTAAAACTGGGGCTTCCAAGCCCGGTGACCAAGAACTTGACTCCTCATGCCCCCTTGTGCCAGCTGCCTCAACTCACAGCCCCACTACAAGCCCAGCAGCACCACCAGGGAGCAGAGCTGGGAGCTGGAGCTGCCAGAGCCTCAGGGCTTGTCTGCTCCTGCCTGCTTGGAGGGGCAGCCCCACCCTGAAAGGCTCTCCTGTCAAGCACCTCGGCTTCCTGGGATGTGTTAAAGCTCTTCTGCGGTAGGTTTGGAACAAAAGGAGATGCTCTGGGAGCAGCTGCAGCGCTGCACGTTTCCCTTCCAGCCCTTCCAAAAAGTGGATACTGCATTGGCCGGGAATCGAACCCGGGCCTCCCGCGTGGCAGGCGAGAATTCTACCACTGAACCACCAATGCTGCTCTATACTCTGCCTGCACCTGCCTGTGCCCCTGCCCGTGTGTGTCTGTGTGTGCCCTGTGCCCTGCCCGTGTGTGTGTCTGTGCCCTGTGCCCTGCCCGTGTGTGTGTCTGTGTGCCCTGTGCCCTGCCCGTGTGTGTGTGTGCCCTGTGCCCTGCCTGCGTGTGTGCCCTGCACCCCTGTCTGCCCTTGCCTGTGTGCCGTTCCCCTGCCTGTGCCCTGTGCCCACCGTGCCTACCCTTGCCTGTGTGTCCTGTGCCCTGCCCGTATGGGCCCTGTGCAT